TGGTCTTTGATGATGATGACTTACAGGTGGGGTTTTGGTGTGGATGTTCTTTCTGTTTGTTAGTTTTCCTTCTTACAGGACCCTCAGCTGCAGGTCTGTTGGAGTTTGTTGGAGGTCCACTCTAGACACTGTTTACCTGGGTATCACCAGCAGAGGCTGCAGAACAGCAAATATTGTAGAATGGCAAATGTTGTTGCTGCTTGATCCTTCCTCTGGAAGCTTCATCACAGAGGGGCACCCAGATATATGAGGTGTCAGTCGGCCCCTACTGGGAGGTGTCTCCCAGTTAGGCTACCTGGGAGTCAAGGACCCACTTGAGGAGGCAGTCTGTCCATTCTCAGATCTCCAGTTCTCTGCTTCGAGAACCACTACTCTCTTCAAAGCTGTCAGACAGGGACATTTAAGTCTGCAGAAGTTTCTGCGGTCTTTTCTTCAGCTATGCCCTGCCCCCAGAGTTGGAGTCTACAGAGGCAGGCAGGCCTCCTTGAGCTGCGGTGGGCTCCACCCAGTTCAAACTTCCTGACCGCTTTGTTTACCTCCTCAAGCCTCAGCAATGGCAGACGCCCCTCCCCTAGCCTTGCTGCCACCTTGCAGTTCAATCTCAAACTGCTGTGCTAGCAGTGAGCAAGGTTCGTGGGCATGGGACCCTTCGAGCCAGGCGTGGGATACAATCTCCTGGTGTGCCATTTGCTAAGACCATTGGAAAAGCACAGTATTAGGGTGGGAGTGTCCCAATTTTCCAGGTACTGTCTGTCATGGCTTCCCCTGGCCAGGAAAGGGAATTCCCCAATCTCTTGCACTTCCTGGGTGAGGGAATGCCCCTCCCTGCTCTGTGGGCTGCACCCATTGTCTGACAAGCCCCAGTGATATGAGCCCCATACCTCAGTTGGAAATGCAGAAATCAGCCATCTTCTGCATCACTCATGCTGGGAGCTGTAGACTGGAGTTGTTCCTATTCGGCCATCTTGGAACCTCCTTCTCAACATATTATATTTTCATATATTTATCAGTCATTTGGGGTTTACTTCTGAACTGTTTATATTGTTTGACCATGTTTACACACAGTTTTGTGTCACTCTTAAAATTCTGTGTTTTGGATACCAGGGATACTAACACAAGGTGTATGCTACAAGTTTGTTGCCCAATTTAGAATTATTGTCTATTTTATTGATGGAGATTTTGATATGAAGAAATTTTTAATTTTCATGTAATCAAATATATTTTTCACTATGACTTCTGAGGTTTGATTTATTTTATTAATAATTAGGAAGATTTTTTCCAACTCCAAGATCATACAAGTGTTTTCTTATTTTGTCTTACAGGAAGTTAATTTTTACTTTTGATATTTTGATCTTCATTCTATTTGGAATATATTTTTGAATAGCATGAATTAACATTCTTTTATATTTGTCTTCCTTATGGCTTGCAAATTATGTTAGTACTATTTATTAAATAAGTCATTCCATTACTAAAACATAAATGTCTATTTTGTCATATAACATGTCTATATATTTTTGTATCTATTTCTGTGTTTGATTCTAGTCTTTTCTCATGCTGTTTCATTGTTTTTGTGGTAAATTTTAATATCTAATCAAACAAATCACCCCTCACCAATCTTTTTCTTACTTTCTTATTTCTTATAAACTTAAGAGCTATATGAACATAAACTGATTTTTCCAGTTCCCCACCACCTATGCCAACTAACTATTGCAATTGTGATTGGTATTGGAGGAGTTTTTTAAGGCAATTGTGGAGGGATTAATATTTTTTGTGATAAATCTTTTCATCTAGATATATGGTCTCTTTCTCACTTTTTTCAGCTTCTGTTCTATGTCATCTAGTAAAATGTAAGTGTTTTCCTGTGGTCAACTACCTGATTTTCCATTAAGATTATCCTTCAGTATTTTATACTATCTGTTAAGACTATTGAATTATTTTTCCTTTTCTATTTTAGAGCATTATTATTTTGTTATTGATTTTTATTTGCATTCTTGATTTCCAAATATGTCACACTATTCTTTAATCTCCTGTTTGTTTGTGTAGGGTGTTATTTGATTTTGTTTTATGTCGAAGTCTCTTGGATTTTCTAAATGCATAATACTATAATCTACAAACAAGGTAATTTGCTCCTTCATTGCCAATATTTGTATGGGTTTTTAGATTCTTGCCTTATTGCATAATGTACAATTTAAGAAAACAGTACCAACTAACAATAATAATAGTTCTCTCCTTGTCTCATTCCTGATTTTAATGAAATAGCTGTAACAACTTACATTTGGAATTACATTTGATTCTGCCTTTACAGGTTTAGAGCATTTTCCTGTTCTTCCTACTTTCATAGAACATATATTTAGAATGGAGGGTACATTTTATGTTCTTTCATTTTTGTCTTTTCTTTTTGGCAATTTATATAGTCATGTAATTTTTCCTCCTTTAATTTATTACACTGAAAGATCTTCCAGTCAAAGCCATACTGGCCTTTCTAAAACAAACTGTTCATGTTCACATTCTTTTGATATAGTACTGAATATTTTATTAGTAAACAAACAGGGGATTAAAAAATAGTGTGATATATTTGGAAATCAAGAATGCAAATAAAAATCAATAACAAAATAATAATACTCTAAAATAGAATTTTTGCATCTGTATTCATAAGGAAATATGGACAATAGCTCTCTTTTTGTTATTTCTTTACCAGATTTGGCATTAGGATCTTTTCATCTGTTACCAAAATCTGCTATTAAAATTATGTGTTTGTTTTTCACTTATGTAGAATTTAAACATAAAATAATCTGATTTTGGCTACTTTTTATTTTTTAATTTCATCTTCCCTTTCCAATATAGGGGGTACACGTGCAGATTTGTTACATGGGAATATTGCGAATATTGGGTCTTGGAGTACAAAGAGATACCATCATGCTGGTAGTGAGCATAGTACCCAACAGGTAGTTTTCTAACCCAGCACCTTTCCTTCCACCTTCTAGTGGTCCACAGTGTCTACTATTATTCCCATATGTGTGTCCATGTGTGCTCAATACTTAGCTCCCAGTTATAGGTGAGAAAATGTGATATTTGGTTTTCTGTTCCAGCATTAATTTTCTTAGGATTATTGTACTGTGGAAAATAGTCTGGAAATTTCTTAGAGAACTTAAAACAAAGTTACCATTTGACCCAGCAATTCCATTACTAGGTAAATATCAAAAAGAAAATGAATCATTCCACCAAAATGACACATGCATTTGCATGTTCATTGCTGCGCTGTTCACAATAGCAAAGACATGGAATCAACCCAGGTGCCCATCAATGGTAGATTGGATAAAGAAAACTGGCACATATATTCCTATGGAATATTACACAGCGATAAAAGAGAAAAAAACATGTCCTTTGTAGCAACATGGATGGAGCTGCAGACCATAATCCTTATCCACTTTTTAAATGGTAGATGTTTAATATAATTTCTGATTTTCCTATTAGTTTGTTGAGGTTTTCTGTTTTTTTTGAAGGTCATTTTGATAGTTTATCTTTGAGGGATAACATCCATTTTTTTTTATCAGTAAATATGTTGTCCTGGAGTAGCATATAATCTTCTATTATAATTCTTTTGTTCTTTTCTCTGTTTCTGTTCTCATGTCTCATACTCTTTTTTTTTTTTCGCTTTTTTCTCTTTCTCTCGTATCTCCTTTATAAGCCTTACAAGAAATTTATCTCTCTCATCTTCTATCTCTCTTTTTGCCATTTAAAAAAGAAACTTTTGGCTTTATATATCCTTTGAACTATGACTTGTTCTCCATTTCATTATATATAGCTTTCATTTTTATAAATTGTTCCACTTGTTTTTTTCTAGTTTACTTTGATATTCTTTTTATAATGCCTTGAATATTTACTGGGCTGTTTTTGGTCATTCTTTTAAAATTGGGTCTTTTAAAACATCTACTCTTTTAAATTTGCTGAGGTTTTAGTTTTGGCCATATTCAGGAACTTACATTTATAAAAGCATTCTCAAATTCTTGAAGGTTTCTAAAATTAGTTACACTATTTTCTCTTTTACTCTTTAACTATACAATTTCCAACATAATATTAATATACTCACTGCTAAAACTCTCACATTTATTGTTTATATCTCCAGTGAGAAATAGATACTCATCTTCACATCAAGTTTGTGGCTTGCCAGAAAGGGATTACAAGTCTCTTTCTTTCAAACCCAAGAGTCTAACACCATATAAATTACCCAGAGTGCTAACAAAAATTCAGTTACTTCACTCTACTTTGTGGGCTTCTGGCTGTAAAGCCAGTGTCACTCTTCGAATAGGCTGATATCGTGTAGCCTTGGGGAAAGGCAATGTCTCGTTAATGCTTACATTCACTAAAATATCTTGCCCAAGCCCTGGACACTGTAGATTCTAGGACACTATAGATTCTAGGTGTCCAGTGAAACAGTAGGCACTAAAACTTAGAGAAATCATGGTTACATTTATTCTGATCCAAGTTTAAGGACTTAATCCTAGCAACAAAGACTCACTACAACCCAGAATGTGTCTCACAGGAGGTTATATATATAACAGAAGGATGGATACGTGTGGCCCAGGAGGTGACAGAAGCAGGGAGAGAAGCAATTGTTGCAATCTTCTGAATTTGCTGGTACTTGGTGATGCTATATGTAAAATAAGTTAAGGGTGCAGTTGAGTGGGTAGAGAGAAAGGTGAGGCATCTTACGGCCTGATGGAGGGTGACTGATTTCATCCTGTCTTTGTTCTGTATCTAATAAACAGGTTTATAACTATTACCTCTCAGTGTTAAGCATTTAACAAACTCCAGTTACACAGGTAAGAGGTCAGCAGTAGCTTATAGGTCTAGGTTTTATTATCCGTGTGCCCAACTGCAGCCATCATGGGCCAGTGTCAAAATTTTCTTTTGAATTTTCATTTTTCTGATAATTGCAATCAGTGAGAGGTGAAGAAATAGTTCAAGGGAATGATCTGACCTTTCACCATCCTATACAGGAGATGACTGATGACATGGATTCATACACAAATGTATATCGTATATTCTCCAAAGACCCTCAAAAATCACAAGAAGTGTTGAAAAACTGTGAGATCATCAACTGGAAACAGAGACTCCAAATCCAAGGTAACGAGTCTGGAAGAAATGGGAAAGCAGCAGTGCTTCTCAAATTGTGTCTTCAACTAATGCCATTAGTATCACCTGAGAGCTCATTAGAAATGTAAATTCATAGAAACTCTGGGAGCTGGGAGAGGTAGAGCAATCTGTGGTGTGACAAGGACTCTGTCTGATTGTGGTGTAAACTCAAGTCTGAGAACGACTAAGCACTGAGATATTAATCAGGTGGGAGCAGTGTAAGTAGAGAACTCCATGTCTGACAATATTGCTTTCTTGCCTTTCTTCCCAGGTCTTCAAGAAAGTTTAGGTGAGGGGATAAGAGCGGCTGCATTTTCAAAGTCAGTGAAGGTAGAGCATTCAACAGCAGTCCTCTTGGTTACGGAAGATATTCTGAGGCTCAATGCCTCCAATGAAAGCAAGTTTCGAAGCTGGGCTGAGACAGGCCACCCAGATGATGACTTTGAAAGGTACAAAAACATATGCTAATCATTTATAATTGCTCTTCCTTGTACATTTTTGTAATTCACATACATCAGTTTTGGAATGAAGAGAGGATGAATTCATTCCTAGGGATGAATAAAGATTGTCAAAGGTCAAAATATGCAACTTTGCACTGGTGGGTCTTTAAAGAAAAAGAGGTCCTGGGATCCCTAGATTGGGATGGCACCCAGAAATTACAGGAGTGGGATCAAAGCTTTTGTCTTTCTTTATGTTTTCTACAGGGAAATTCCCAACTTTAAGTATGGCCAACTGGATGTGTCTTATTCCGGGTTGGTAAATGACAACTGGGAGCGAGGGAAGAATGAGAGGAGCCTGCGCTACATCAAGCGCTGCATAGGAGCCCTGCCAGCAGCCTGTATGCTGGGACCAGAGGGGGCCCCAGTCGCATGGATAACCATGGACCCTTCTTGTGAAGTAGGAATGGCCTACAGCTTGGAAAAATACCGAAAGACAGGCAAAATGGCACAGGTGATGGTGCGATACAAGAAATATCTGCTTCAGAAGAATATTCCATTTTACATCTCTGTGCTGGAAGAAAATGAACGCTCCCGCAGCTCTGCGAAGGCGGCGGGTTTCTTTGAGGCCTCCTGTGAGTGGCACCAATGGACCTGCTACCCACAGAATCTAGCTCCATTTTAGACAATGAAGCTGCTTAGCAATTTGGGCAAGCCATCTCTTAATATTAAAGCAGACATCACAGAATAGCTTTCTTCACTTACAAATGTCGATTGGGCATTTGTGATACAGCAGGAACTCTTTCTCACATGGAGACTTGATGTTAAAAGACACAGCCATGCTCTTGAGGAGCTTACAATCCAGGCTGGAGGCAGGGGAGGGTATAGTCTTTAAATATGCTTAAGAGTTCTAGGGAAGGATGGGGTTACCAGTAAACATTTAACTAGAAAGCCAGGCTCAGTTCTTACCTCTGGGAATCAGAACTCTTTATGAAACTTGGTTGATAGAATCTACTATCTGGAAGATAAATAAAGAACTTTAATAAAATTGTCAACAGAATATACCTAATTTATATTGATACTTTATTGGAAATAAATACCACTGCTATGTATGGATTTATGACGCAATGGCGACACTAAAGAATGGAATCCATCTCTTAGTTTAGTGACTAGCAAGGTGTCAAAGGTGAAGCCTCAGACAAATGGCCTTCCTAGGCTACCTTTCATCATTGTTATGCAGAATAGGATCTCCAGAGAATCAAGTGGGCTGGCCTTGAGGCCTCTGCTATGGAAATGATATTTGTTTTGCCTCGTTTCTCCTACTCTTTCTCATTTCCTCATCATTAGTGAAGCATGGCACAGGACAAGGTGTTGCCTGTGAGTCCAGTTATAAGTTCAGCTTTTAGTGTTTGCAGCACTAATATCTTAAGGGGTCATGAGCATTCTGGGGAGAAGTGACCACTAAAGTGAAGACTGAAGAGTGAGTAAGAGTGAGCCAGATAAAAAAATCAGAAAAATCCAGATGATGGAAAGGACACGTGCCATGCACTATCATAATAACTTTCTAATTGAACACTTATATTATAATGTCTGAATCCCTGATTTCAAAAAAAAAAAAAATGCACTTCATGAAAAAACCATGGCCTCATTTGGCTCTGCTCTCGCACCCTGACATTGGAACTTGGATTACTGTGAATATTGCAGCTATAGCAAAAAGGGAAAAAAAATGGCATTTTTATTCTTTCTGATAGTCTAGAATTTAAAAAAATAAAGAAATTTTAATACAATTGGCTTTTGGAGTAAAGTCTGCCAGTATTAACCAACAACTATCCTCATATCTCCATAAAAAATAAATGTCCACAAAATTGAATGTTTATACTTGATGCGATTTAAAAGTGTGTAATTCCAGCACCTAAAGAATTCTGTAGGTCATGGAGCTTTTAGAAAACTCCAATTCATCTTGGAAGGCTGTGGTAGATATGTTACAGCTTAGTATGAATCAATCCAATCAGATTTCTAAACTCCTAAGACCTGATTGATTTGTTACATTGACTGAAATGAAAGCATGGTCTGAGAAAGAGAGGAAACATGTCATTTGGGATTTCTAAGGGTGGAAAATTCTGACAAAAAAAAATAAACTCAGGAACTTGGGTAATATAAAAACTGCTATATTTTGGCACTCAAGAGGCAAAAGCTAATACAGATGACGAAAGAACGCAAAGCAAATAAAATTTGCCTATTTCAAAATGATGCCTCTGGCATGTCCTGTATCCAGAAGAGGATGTTCATTCAGGGTCTGGGGCTCAGGTCATCTTAGCACAGCCCAGTTGGCAGCTTCCCTCCTCTGCCTCTTCCCTGAATGCAAGCCAGCTTCCCTTATCTAGCCCTTCATGGTCCTGTTAAGATAGTGATTCCTAAACCTTATCATACACTTGGATTGAAACAACAAGTAAGCGTGGGAAAGAGGAAAGAGGAGTTCTAAAATATGGCAAAAATAAGTCCAAAATTATTAATAAACACACTAAAAAAGAATGGAGTAATGTTCCTATAAAAATATATGAGTTTCATACTGAGTTAAAAACAAAGTTCAAGAAGCATGCATTAATCAGCTCTGGCTGTCATAACAAAATTTCATAGACAGAGTGGCTTACACAACAGAAATTGATTTCTCACTCTTCTGGAAACTGGGAAGCGATATGACAAGGCTCTAGTGAGGTAAGTTGCCTTCTGAGTCCTCTTCTCTCAGCTTGTTGATGGATGCTAGCTCTTTGTGTCCTCACATGATGGAGACAGAGGAGAGCTCAGACTCTCTTCCTTTTCTTAGAAAGACTTAATTCCATCATGGGAGCTCCACCCTCATAACTTAATCTAAACCCAATTACTTCTCAAAGGCCCACTTCCAAGTGCATTGGGAGTTGAGTCTTCAACATATGAATTTGGGGGTCACTGTCAGTACATAAGAAAGCATATCTCAAATAAACAACACACAAGGGTTCACAGAAAGGAAAAGGATATACTAAATGAATGTGAAACTGAAAAGTAAAGTTATACCATCAATACTAGGCAAAATAGAACGTAAGATGAACATCTGCTAAATACAGAATTCTCCCACAACACAGGTCATGAATCTGCCTCACAACACAACGCAACTGCAAAATACGTATGGCAAAAGCTGACAGACATACAAAAAGAAGAATGCAAATCCACAGTCTCAGTGGGAGAACTCAAAAAACTTCCCTCAGAAAGCAACAGATGATGCAGACTAAAAATAAAGACAATTTGAAAAAATGCTATCCCAACTTGATATTTCTGGTGATGTTGGGGTTATCTGTTTATTGTGTATTTGAGAACTTCTGTTCATCTGTTTGTCAAACTGACCAGCAGGTGGTGATGAGGAGGGAAACACTCCATCTGGAGAGTGCTGGCCACTTGTCTCTAGGTCTAGAGGCTCCTGGCCCCCCCTCATGATCATCACCTATCAGGAGCAAGCACTGCTGATACAGGGGCTGAAAAGAAATTATTAAGCAGTCAGTGTGGGTAAGGGAGTCCTCACTTATGGTTTTTCTTTTAATAAAAAAGCAGCACCCATATAATTTCTTTTCTAACAAAAATCAGCCTGAAAAATCAAGCAAAGGTAAATGTTGGCACATATAAATAGAAAAGGGATACCTGGAAGCCACACATACTCAACACGGAGGTTTCCTCTTCCTTTTTTTTTTTTTGTTTGTTTTGTTTTGTTTGTTTTGTTTCAGTTGGAATCTCACTCTGTAGCCCAGGATGGAGTGCACTGGTACGTTCTCAGCTCACTTCAACCTCCGCCTCCCAAGTTTAAGCAATTCTCTGCCTCAGCCTCCTGAGTAACTGAGATTACAAGAGCCCACCACCACGCACGGCTAATTTTTGTTTATTTGTTTGTTTGTAGAGGCGGGGTTCACCATCTTGGCCAGGCTGGTCTTGAACTCCTGACCTCTCGATCCACTGTCCTTGTTCTCTGTAAGTGCTAGGATTACAGGTATGAGCTACCACACCCGGCCTCCTATTCCCTTTTCTTTGTCTTCGCATGTGCAAGCAACATGGCACAGGCCAGGTAGAGGCCCCATCTGCATACTAAAGTTTAGTGTGGGATGGCCAGCCTCTTAATGCATCACATAAAGTGCACACCTGCTCCAACCAATCCTCTCAGCCCTATGTAAATCAGACACTGCCTCCTCAAGCTGATCTATAAAACCAACCACAACTAACCCCAAACCCGGAAACCTGCTCAGACACCCTTCCAATGCACAAGGAAACTCTCTCTTCTTTCTTTTGCCTATTAAACTTTCACTCTTAAACACACTCCTTTTGTGTCCATATCTTCAATTTCCATAGTGTGAGACAACAAACCACTGGCATTTTCCCAGGCAAACGATGCCGCTTCACTGCCATCTCAAGCCCACGGGCCAAAAACGACCACTTTAGCACGATGAATGCCACGGCTGCCACCATGCTTCTTAGGACAAGCAAGGACATGAAGATAGAGTGGGGACAGGTTCATTAGAGAAGCCACAATAAAAGCACATCCAGGCAACTTTCCATTTTTTAACTTCTGTCATTTTCCAAGTCTAAGGTGTTTTTTATCGCTGTTGTTTTGTTTTTCTTTTTGTTTAAATAGTTTCTATTTCTGGCCAAAGGAGTGCTCTTTGGTTTCCTACTGTGACATATTTATTGTTTGTTCTAAAGTCTTTTCCATGATTTCATATAGGAAATAAGAAGACAGACATGTGTTTGCTCAACACATCGATCCCCTCTCCACCTAGAATTCTCTTTACTCTTTCTCCCAGGAAGATTCCACCCCACCTGTTATGCCAGTTTCCTCATATTTCCCTCACACAGTTGCCCTTGTAGGCAGATGAACCTGGGCTAGTTCTACTTAACTATGGACACCAACTCCTCTCAATTAACATCTGAGTCTTGGGGTTTGCACATGAATCTTCCCTTGATACAGAAAACAGTCTTTCCTCTTACCTTCACTAAATGCATCCACTTGGGAGAATGGACAGCACTAAAATTCCACAGATTTCAAAACCAACCTGCTGTGCCTTTCTAGAGTCCTTGGAATGAAGACGAGAAAATAGGTTAGAAGGGATATTTTCTCCTTCATTCCTTACCCTGGAGGACCTCCTATTTTTAAAGGGATACATTGGGGACAGTACAAAAGAAACTCTTACAAATCAAGTTTTGCCATGCCACCATGAGAAGGATAACCTGTGTGCCCAGGGGTGAAATTTTTAAATTTCTGTAATGATGTCCAGGGTCACCCCTGTGGATAACAAAAATATTAAAAAAACTATAGGGATGTCAACCGTTCAGAACCATGTCTCTTCGTAAAGACCTACCAAGGCCTAGAGATCACAGCACCTCCTTAGCAGCCTACAGGCATTCTCCAAAGGCTTCCACCTGTCCCAGCCAACACACAAACAGACACACACACACACACACACACACACACACACACCCTGGTGCTAAACTTTGGCCCTAGATCACATCTAATTTTGTTCTAAATCTTGATCTCCCTGTGCCCCAAAACTCATGTGTTATAGGGCCTTGGTAATCCCTTTGTAAGCATATTCCCTGACTTCTTAAAAACTATTTATGAGACACATATCTAAAGTAAAACTTTATATTTCAGGCCAGATCAGCACTCTTCTTACTACAACTACAAACACTGAACTTCTTTATTGTTGGGAAAATACATTGAAAAGGAATTATTATGCTTGTATAGCAATAGATTATCTATGGAAAAGTACTGAATGTCTTGAGAATGAGTGAAAATTGTTTCCCCTATATACACTTTTTTCTTTTGAAAAGTACATCCTGTGTATATTCCAAAGATAATGTTTTTCAAGAGAGGAAATTGCCTCCACTATGGACTCTTATTAATTCGCTTCTCCATCAAGTTCTCTTATTAACTGACTTATCCATCATAATCCCTTACTAACTTTTTATTCACTCACTAGTATTTGTTTCTAGTGCTCATAATTGAACACAAATTTGTTTACTATTATATATAGCACAGCAATCTGAGATTGAACTGCAAGGTGGCAGTGAGGCTGGGGGAGGATTATCCACCATTGCTGAGGCTTGAGGACGTAAACAAAGCAGCAGGGAAGCTCAAACTGGCTGGAGCCCACCGCAGCTCCAGGAGGCCTGCCTGCCTCTGTAGACTCCACTTCTAGGGGCAAGGCATAGTTGAACAAAAGGGAGCAGAAACTTCTGCAGACTTAAACTTCCCAGTGTGACAGCTTTGAAGAGAGTAGTGGTTCTCCCAGCACAGAGTTTGAGATCTGAGAATGGACAGACTGCCTCCTCAAGTGGGTCCCCGACCCCCAAGTAGCCTAACTGGGAGACACCTCCCAGTAGGGGCCGACTGAAACCTCATACAGCTGGGTTCCCCTCTGAGACAAAGCTTCCAGAGGAAGGATCAGGCAGCAACAGTTGCTTTTCTGCAGTTTTTGCTGTTCTGCAGCCTCTGCTGGTGACACCCAGGCAAACAGGGTCAGAAGTGGACCTCCAGCAAACTCCAACAGACCTCAGCTGAGGGTCCTGACTGTTAGAAGGAAAACTAACAGACAGATAGGACATCCAACCAAAATCCCATCTGTACGTCACCATCATCAAAGACCAAAGGTAGGTAAAACCACAAAGATGGGGAGAAACCAGAGCAGAAAAGCTGAAAATTCTAAAAACAAGAGGACCTCTTCTCGTTCAAAAAAACGCAGCTCCTCGCCAGCAACAGAACAAAGCAAGATGGAGAATGACGATTTGACAGAAGTAGGCTTCAGATGATCGGTAATAACAAACTTCTCCGCGCTAAAGGAGGATGTTTGAACCCATTGCAAAGAAGCTAAAATCCTTGAAAAAAGATTAGATGAATGGATAACTAGAATAAACAGTGTAGAGAAGACCTTAAATGACCTGATGGAGCTGAAAACCATGGCACGAGAACTATGTGACGCATGCAGAAGCTTCAGTAGCTGATTTGATCAACTGGAAGAAACAGTATCAGTTATTGAAGATCAAATGAATGAAATGAAACAAGAAGAGAAGTTTAGAGAAAAAAGAGCACAAAGAAATGAACAAAGCCTCCAAGAAATATGGGGCTATGTGAGAAGACCAAATCTATGTCTGATTGATGTACCTGAAAGTGACGGGGAGAATGGAACCAAGTTGGAAAACACTCTTCAGGATATTATCCAGGAGAACTTCCACATCCTAGAAAGGCAGGCCAACATTCAAATTCAGGAAATGCAGAGAATGCCACAAAGATACTCCTCAACAAGAGCAACACCAAGACACATAATTGTCAGATTTACCAAAGTTGAAATGAAGGAAAAAATGTTAAGGGCAGCCAGAGAGAAAGGTCGGGTTACACACAAAGGTAAGCCCATCAGACTAACAGCAGATCTCTTGGCAGAAACTCTACAAGCCAGAAGAGAGTGGGGGCCAATGTTCAACATTCTGAAAGAAAAGAATTTTCAACTGAGAATTTCATACATAGTCAAAGTAAGCTTCATAAGTGAAGGAGAAATAAAAATCCCTTGCAGACAAGCAAATGCTGAGAGATTTTGCCACCACCAGGCCTACCTTACAAGAGCTCCT